CTCCGGTCTTCCAAACAAGGTCAGAAGTTCACAACAAGTGGTCGTTTTGTGATGAGTAAAAAGTGTAATATTGCCTAGTCAACTTAAAGAAAGGTGGAAGTTTCTTTCTTCTTCATTCACCCGAAAGAAACTGACTCACAATACCTATGTCATTTCAGTGTATGAGGAGCACTCCATTTTCCACAAAATACAAAGCCCTTCTAATTCTGTAAATATTGCTTCTTCTTACTTTGCTTAGATAATCAAAATAAGCTTTCAAAAGTTGCCCTGGCTCAAATGAATGTCGGTTATTTTATATTCCAATAATACAAAAATAAAAATAAAAAAGCTCATATTTCTCTCCCACTTTATTGAAGGGGTTGGGAGTGCTTAAACTTTTTGACAATTCCAGTAAAATTAATTCAAAACATTTATAATTTATTAATTCCATTTTTGTAGACAGGGTACCACAAGCTCCCATACAGTAGTCACAAATAACACTGTTCAACAGACTATGAAGCCCAGTGTAACATAACCCCATCTACAAGACATCTCACTCAATTCATTCTGCCTCTATTTCCTCTTGTGAAGGATTTCACGCCTGTCACTGTCTTGAGGAATGTTCCGCAACCAATGTGTGTGTGTGTGTGTGAGTATGTGTATTATATAATGAATGTGGCTCAATCTGTGGACTAAGCTCTACAGAATTATCTCCACTGATGTGGGACTATTGGGCTTCTGAAGTCTGGTAGTTGACAGCAGGTTTACACTATGTGAAAATGACCTGTTTTCTGTGCAATCCAGGTACACATTCATATGTGAGAGTCTCTCTCTCTCTCTCTCTCTCTCTCTCTCTCTCTCATGTGTATTACAAGATCCCACATGAGATAATGCAATCAGCTCCCTCTTTGGCTTTCTTACTGTCAGTTGCCAACTCCCTTCATTTGAGCAGAAATATTATTTTTTAAGTCCCATGGTCAAATACACACAGAGAAATCAAATCACCAATGCCGATTTTTGACTATGAATACCCTTTGATTTTAAGAACTGGGCAAATCTATTACTGAAGTTTATTCAATAAGGGATTTTAGAATCTGTGGTGGCCTACCCTTCAGCAACCTGTTTTACAATAAAGAAATTGTGCTTTAACTTTAAATGTTGTTTATACACCAACAAGCATTAAAATCTGAAAATCTTGGAAAATTGATAATTTTCAAACAAACTGATTTAAAAAGGATTTTGTAATATTAATATTCAAGATGGGGAGTGAGGTTAATTTATGTTCATCGCATATGTTTAATAAAGGTTCAAAACAGGACTACACCAGCTATCTAGGTGTAAACATGACAACCATGCATACATATTACATATATAGGCATACTTGCACCATGCTGAGCTTCTTATTGAAAGCTGAGCCATTCTTCTTTAGCCTGATCAATAATAAGCCTCAGAAATGATGAGCTTGTGTAACCATACTGAAAGTGAAATATTCCTCCTGCCCTGCTCCACTTGAGATGTGTGGGAAGATTCCCAAATCCAATATTTGCTGCTACAAGCTTTTTTTTCTTTCATCTCAGTGAAAGAATTTCATCGGCTGTGCTAAGAGTTTTATTGCTATTTAGATTCTTAGCAACAAATTGCAAAGATCAACGTTATCTGTACTGTAATTAATATTTTGTTTTTTATAACAAGTCACCTTCTTCAGTGCTGAAAGGCTAAATTTTCTTAAGTATTCTTTATTCCTTAATAATAAACTCAAACACAAGCATGCTAGTAAGTTTCTATTTCTGTATTTTACTTCATCACTGGGATTACTGTCTCTTTTATAAAACAAAGCACATCTTAGGATGTTTTTTTGCCCTTTCTTACCATCTTTCATCTCATATCCTACGGGCAGTAAGTGGTATACGATTTTTAACATTTTCAATTTGATACGGGTCTATAAAGGGTACTTTGTCACCACACTGCAAACTTTTTTCAATTCATTAATTTCCCCTTTAAACTGCCTACAAGGTCTTCTAAACAACAAGCACCCAGTGCCACACCATGTCTAATCACAAAACTCACAGATCAAAGTGATAGAATTCATCACCCTTCCCCACCAGTGCTTCAAAAATGCCTACCAAAATGGCCCATTCGACCACATCCATCCGCCATAATGATACGAAAACATTTCGTAACAAAGCCACCATGCTCGAGGCTCAAACCATTCAGCCATCCAAGCACACCAGTGATAGTAAACAAATGGCCGTAAAATTCCTCAACCCGAAGAATGGACCCACTGTGCACAAAAGAAAATGGTTACAATAATGCATTTTGAAACGTAAGAGTACAAATATAGATGATATGCAGGTTACCAGAGCTGAGGTGTGAAATGGATCCTATGTATTCAATGTTATATGTACTGGTATATACTACTAGTGATATAATCATCTCTGGGACATGGTTAATATTAGAACTTTTGACTAAAACTTGGTCTTTGCTTGAAACCCAAAATTTTCAGTCAAAACTTCTGTAAAATTATCTGTAACACTCCACACAACATTTAATGAGATAAATAATTTGAATTAAATATTTTAGACCAAAGTTACAGTTACTTTTTATTTCAGGGAACTACTACTGATGTATCCTGAATTGAAATATTAGTAGTAGTAGTAAGTAAACCAAAAATGTTTGGTCTTGAACAACAACTTCCATTCCTTCTGTTGTTTTGAGTTTCCAGAACCAGGTTTCATGCATGTCCAATTAATGAATGCATCATTTTTTTTATTTTATTTTAGTTTTTTATTTGAACCTCTTATTTTTCCTAGAAGACAGCAAAAATCTCAAATAAAAATGCCAAGAATCACTCAGGTAAATGTCCTAAGGTGTGCTCTAAATTTGTCCAATATGCTAATAAGGCTCTAAGGATACCACCAACACCACTACTAGTACATCCACCAACAAGAAGAATATTGCTCCATCAACTTATGCAAGTGAAATTATACCCCTTTTAAAATATCAAAGAAAACTTGGCTTGAACACTTGTCAAGTAATTTTGATAAATCTATCTCATCACATATCTACAGAAAGTAGAGGAAGCAATTAACTTAATAGATCTAAGGTAGAATTTTATAATATTAACAATATAACAACATACATCTCAGCTTTCAGATACTGAGAATTAAATTACATATATCTTTTTTCTTCATAAGTTACTGCAATATTATCTTAAATAATAATAAATGTAACGACTGAATCAAAAGGCATCCACGCAATGTCCACCTGACAAATAGAAATTACTCATACACCTGTTGCGACCACACCCCTTGTCCTCAATTATCCTTAATTATCATTATAATATCCTTGATAATATCATAAATATCCCTGATTATCCTGATATACAATCAAAATTAAAGGATGTGTTACATAATTAATAGCTGTATTATATATGTTATCAGTGATAAAGTATTTGCTCTTAAGGGAGTTATCAGAAGTAAATGAGAGCAAGTAGAGTGTCTTGGTTTTACAATTAGTTTATCAAGGAACTAGCTGCAAAGAAATCCTTTTAAATGTGAGTTTTTTTAAAAGAAAAAGCTAACTCTTACCTATTTATTTCAAGGCCACCTGTCGGCTGATGTGTTTTTTTTAAAATTCATACTGTTTATAAGTAAATTTTACCTTTAATGTCAGTTTTTTTCTTGCTCCTAACTACATTTGATCATTTATCCCTTAGACCCATTTTACTTACTAGTACATTTTTAGGACAACATGTATTCATTATCAATAAGGCATACATATAAATGATATTTTTCAATTGCATATTTTGGGGTGGGGGGGTGGGGGGAGGGTCATATGCTAGTACCTTTATGTTGGGAAAAATTCCTCTCCTCCAACTGCAAGAGAATCTTATAATAATGAAAAACACATTCTTAACTAGATCTGTAGTGATCAAGAAAATCAATACTTTTAACTAAAGCAGGTGCACCACAAGCAAAACATTTTAACACACAGTAACATCCAGATACACACACACACACACACACACACACACTAGCAACAATTTCAGCTGTAATATGTACATTTACTGAAATTCTAAACCAGTCCTATATTTTTTTATCCTTTCCACTTTGTGTTACTGACTTTATATCAGAACAGAGCAACATGAACTTCTAGTTTATCAGGGTAAGCAAACATGGATTTTGGCTCCCAGCACGGCATGGCATATGGCAATGCACAACTGGCAATATTGATGTCAAACAAAAATATCAGCACTTTCTTGAGCAACCTTACTACTAGCATATGCACTTGAACAATCTAAATCTTGTCTTTTTCCATCGTCATTTTTATAAATTAAAATTCCTTGCTCTTGTTAGCAAATGATTTTTCCACAACACCCAAATGCAAGTACATAATTACTGTATGCACCGTATAATTCTAAAAGACCAAAATTTCCCCAAACATTAATTATTTCATATTAAAACATTAAGTTTAATATTTATTATCTCTACTCCTGCAAATACTTCTACAAAAATCATAGATCCCCACCACCCACCCCTGAGTGGAATAAGCAGGCTTGTTTTATAACATTTATGTCAAGTGACACTTGCTGATGTTGTGAAAGGTGTTGTACTTAACATACATAGTACATGCTGAAATCTTTTTTATAAAAATTACTCTGTGCACATAGATCAAATTCAAAGCTTCCAAGATACATCAGGACGAAGAAATAATTGTTAGCTTTGCTCTCTCTCTCTCTTTCTCCTACATCATATTCGGCATATTCTCTCTAAAAAAAAAAAAGACAAATCTTCATCGGACAGACAACATATCACTTCATATTTTCTGCATGTAAATTACACTACATCTCAAACTGCCATGCACACGCACTGTAACCCAAAGACATTTTGCTAGTGTCATTCTACAGTCGCCAAACACGCAGGCAATATATTTCCACTGTGCCAGACTGCAACTTCTTCTACAGACATTCATCAAAAGGTCACAAACGGAAGAAAAGACATATCATGAAATCATATACTTACTTTGCTTTCCTGTTGTCGGAGCTTCACAGGAGACCGTTCCGTCTTTGTGAACATAGACGGAGGGGAGACCATATATATAAATGGCGTTCCCTGCGTCCCAGTGTTTCTTTAAGTGTTGCAAACACTGAAAGCAAATGGCCCAGGCTTGTTCTTCGTTCAGAGGGGCGTTGAAGGCTTCCAAAATGTCTTGGAGAGAGAGTTTGTCGGCGATTTTCGACAGCCTCTCTCGTGCGCCGCCGCTCCGTGCAGCCATCTTTGAAAGCGTGTTGTGATCACGTGATTTCAGTTTTCTGTTATTTTTGACACCCCCCTTTTTCCACCGAAGAAAGATTTTTAATGGTTTTTTTTTTCTATCTTTCATTTTTCTTTTATTTTCTATGTATGGCAAATTATTTTTAGTATTAATTGTAAAAATAAAAATGAGACAACTTCCAAAATCGTACAGCTCCACATTGTAAAATTGTTCAAAAATTCATCTGTCGATGTTTTGCTATTATCATTATAATTATTATTTCATGCTCTCTCTTTATCGTATCGTAATTGACATTTTATATGAAAATTTGCCATTACCTGACAAATATTGCGCACAAATTACATAAGATGCGGACACCACAATCATACAACAGATTAAACATTGTGAATGCGTTTGTTGTGACAAAATTAAACAACAACCGCATTTAGATTTGTGCATGCAGTCTTGGGTCCACTTTTATGTATAATGCATGTATGTCCAGGATGCAGTCGGTGCATCATCATCAGCTGACAATAACTTTAATCCTGCACCCCATGTCAGGCAATTTTTTCACTAAAACGTTTCAAGACTAAACTAAAGAGGGTGACAGCTCGTTAAAACTGACCTGCCTAGTGATATCACAATAAGCTCTCAGTTTCTCCTAGGACCATCTTAACTCCAGTCTAGTGGATTTTCGATTTCATTATGGCTAATGCATTTAGAGGCGGTCCCCCCCCCCCCCCCCAATCCGCTTATTGCGCTGAACACGTGCTCATGGATTATGTCATACATCGAGTGGGAGCAAACAAGCAGTCCTCTTCCTGGGTTTTGATACATGTGTAAAACAGTGTTAATTAAAACGACGCTGAGCGGAAAGGAAAGCGAATGTAAAACATTCTTCTTTAGAATCTTACCACTGGAATTATTCTGAAGATTGCACATTGTCATATGACGTAAGAATAGGACAGACAACTGTCTCTGACAGGCATTATGGTGACACTTGATTTCTATGCAATCAATATGTAGAATTGTTGGCAAAATTGATTCCTTGTACTTAGTCGGTATGTTGCACTTGGAGATTGACTTGTTAAGTTGTTACATGCACTAACTTTCTGAAAGGTGAAAAACGAACCTCATAAAACAAATCAAATGTTTTTACCACACCAGTTTCCCGGCTTTTTTCTAATTGAACAGAGTGAGTGCAAATAAGTCGCATTGAATGTGGGTTTGTTGAATAGCAAATCCCATTAAAATGTTGTATGGATGAAACACATTTGGTATAAGATCTATAGGAACTGTTTACATGTAAATCTCGATTTTCCTTGGCATACCGAAGAAGTATTGAAAAGTCCATCGAGTCGAAGCTGACAAAGGAAATGAAAACGGAATTTCAAACTGCAGAATAAAAGAATAATATCTACTCGGTTGGTTGTGTTGTAGACTGAGTGCTTTACTTTCTCTCGCCATTTTTTTTTTTTTTTTTTTTTTTTTTTTTTGTGAGTTATTTGCAACTCTGGTGTGACAAGTTCACGCATAAATGCGGATAAATCCCTGTGTTTAACTTCTACTTTGAAATAGCAATTACACAAAGCACTGATTGTTGACAAATAAAAGATTTTAAAACAAACTATGTACGTTTAATATCAAACTTAAGAGAGTGCTGTGGTTGATTGGCGCAGTGTCGCTTAAAATACCATAACTTAGGCATTTAACACCATTAGTTGTAAAAATAAAACATGCGAGCAAGGATGCCAATAATATTGAGATAAGTATAATATTGGGAAAGGAGAGCCCCCCTTCCCAACCCCTTGAGTCATATATACTAGATCTGCCATTTATATAACAGGAATAAATCTGAAATGTCAGTTCAACAAAACGTCTTTTTAAAAGGTATGTTTGGAAGTAATTTCAGTTCTTCACTTACAATTTTTAAATTCCATTTCTGTAATATTGAGGTAAGTATAAAACTATATGAACAACATGAACAATAATGCCTTTAATGGCAAAAAAGAATGATGAAAAAATAAATAGATAAACCATATATTTTATGAGACTTAACACAGTTTTATTTTCTAAGTGAATCTTAATTGTAACAAAGACTGTCATCAAATAATACTGATAAATGGTAACACGTAGTATATGGTTAACAAAGCGATGTAATAACAAGTTTCTATAATTTTCCTGTCTCCATGCCCTTCTCTATTTTTTATCCTGATATTCACATTCTATAAATTGCCTTGATGTATGTATTCATGTCAGATATTTCCATGGGGGACCCACCTTCCTACTTCAACCCCTCCTTCTTTACCAACAGAAATCTATTGTTGCCCCCCCCCCCCCACCTTAATTTTTAACCCCGATCCAAATTAACTGGAAACACACCATTATCTACGACTGACGGAGATGTGTCGAGTTAAAATGACAATTTACCTGTCATTAATGTAAAAATATTTTGTGTGACGATAGATACCGTGAAAATATGGTGGTCTAATCTCAATCTGCTGATTTAACAAGTTAAAACACTACTTAAATACTTTCCCGGGAGAATACAATCACAATCAAAATGGAAGCCCTATAAAATCTCATATGATGATATTTGTGAGTTGAAAATCGATTTGGACAAAAAAGGAAAAATGGGGTGTTGTTGGCTGTTCTCGCAGCAGCATGTTCTTCTTCCCACGAACCTTGTCTTAGATTATGCCTAACAAAATCGTCCCTAAAGGTAATAAAAAGTTAATAAAAACACCTATCTGCTTGTACTTTTTTGAAATTGCAGCTTGAATTCGCTTCTGACCAACATTCGCTTCTGGTAAGAATCTTTGAGATTCACATCACAAAGTGTGAAGATAAGCGCCTCAAGTCAATAATTGGCATACAAGTACACGCCAAAAGAAACACTATGTTCACTAGGTCCATCGCCATTTAAGATGTCGTTCAAAAACAGTCATATAATAAACAAAGGTCAAGATAAGGAGGGTAGACTGTTTGAATTATGTATTCTTTAAGTTTCAACGACAGCACTGGTTTTCTATTGAAATATCCACAGGCGCACTGTTTACCGAGAGCATACATGTATATTAACGGAACTATTAGGAACTATTTCCCGCCGTAGACCCCTTTTTACCAGCTGGGAGCTGCCCTGCAAGATGTTTACCACCAGGGCTAGAATCACGTCGGGGACTACTTTTGGAGCTCTGAGCCCGTGGGGTAGTCGGACTGGCAGCCCCAGACGTAGCAGTGGGGGTTTGTTTGTCTTTAACGGCAGTAGGGGTTGGTTTGTCTTTAACGGCACTGGCGGAAGGCCCGCCCACTGACCCCAGCATGTCACTTGTCGTCCGCGTGACAGAGGCGTGCCCCGTGTGTAACGCGTCTTTGCTTTCGGCCTTCTTCAGTTTGGGATCAGATTCGTCTTTTGATGCATTGCTTGGTTTCTCGTTGGCGATTTTGTCGTCTGTCGGTTTCTCGGTAACTTGGGTCTCACTTTCTGTTTTTGCCGCCTCCGTTTTGGCACCGTCAGTTTCGTTTTCCACCGAGTCCTTCATATCACTAGACGTTTGCTTATCTGCTTCTTCATTTAAGTTTTTATCCGACCCTTCTTCCTTACTTTTGGGCCTCGCGCTTGCAACGCGTTGTACTAGACTCTTCAGTTTACTTTGTTTTTTAGGTTCGCCGTCTCCTTGTTCCTCGTCCCCTAATTTCTTCTTCTTTGTCTTCATTTTCATCAGGATCATTTGTGTTTTAAGCATCTCTTTGGTGTGCTCACTCATATCACTAGCATTATCATTGAGCCTGGAGTGATCGTATATATAGTCCAGTAATTTAGCCACACCCACTCCGATACCTGCAGCGAATGCGATAACGGCAATGGCGATGATCACCTTGGGGATGATGTCGGTTGCTGTGGTGATCGTTGCTGTCGTAGTAGATGTTGAGGATGCCGTTGTGGTGTTGGAAGCGTTAGTAAGTACTGGAATGAATAGATGTGATATAAGTACCAGTAAAGACTACTTTAAAAACATGTACATAACTATAAAAATACAAAAGTCTTATATCTTTAAATCCGTTTTCCGTCATTTTTCCATTCAAGTTGGACTCACCTCACTAAGTAGACTCAGACTATGATTAACTCATGTTGGGAGCAAATCTAATCTTTCTGCCTCCCCCCCCCCCTCTTCAACCGACCACAATTATAATTATTGCATTGAAATTATTGCATATTGTTTAGATCATTTTCCTACAGTGATGAAATAGTTATCAGAGACAAGTCGAGCCGGGTTAGGACGACCCAAGTTATATGGAAACGCAACCTTATCTTTAAGAGAATCCTTGAGAAATTATGAAAGAGATGCGTCGCGTAAAATGACAATTATCTGTCATTTACAAGGCATTTACAATGCTTAGATAGATAAATAGATAGATAGATAGATAGGGAGGTAGACTGACTGGCTGACAGACATACTGACTGACATACAAACAGACATAAAGACAGACAGACAGAGAGACAGGCGGACAGATGATAATCAGCATTTTAGAAATAAAATTTTCATCGTTACCTGGAAGACATATGAGCACTCCCACCAACAGCATGGCGGCGCTTTCTTTCCAGGAATTCATTCCCAGGAAAATGGTCGTAGAGTGGCGTTGAAGATGGGTAGACATATTGTTGATATATTTATAGATAGTATAAATATATTTGAGCAATTCTGTGGATTTTGTGCCTCTCCTCCTTCGAAGAATGTTTTCTGTATTGTATTAGTACAGTGTAAAATGTTATTAGACACACGGTTGTCTTGTAAAAAAACTTTCTGGGAAATATTTGGAAAATTCTTCACTTTGAAGTTCAGTCTCACATCTGTTAGATTTGCTTTTCTGTCTTTTGTCTCTCCTCGAATACGTTGTCTATCCTTGGTGGCTTTGACGTACAGTTAACGTAAACTTACGGAGTTGTAGACAGTGATTTCAGCGTCCAAGATGGCGTCCATGCTGCAGCACATTAAAACCCTACCAACATTTGTCAGGACACTATCCACTACACACGAAAACAATCGATAAATTCTTGTTCACGCCGCCGATGAGCAAATAGGTGGTGTTTTGATTGACTAGCTTCAGTCGTCTGCTTTCAGATGAATTCCATTTTAGGATACTTTTCTCGCGTTTCTGAAGCGAAAATATGTAAGGAATCAACAGCGTATATCACAACCTTGGCTCAAGAACAAAATGTCGCAGCTTTTCTCCCGTCTGTATATTAAGCGAAAGGACCCAAGTCTCTGTGTCAATAAATAGGCCGCTTTGTGTTGACGGGGTAAAGCACACCTTTTACTCTCTCTACAATTTTCAAGCACTTTGTTTACAGTGCTAACACGCGCATATTCACAGCAATACAATTGTTTTCAAAATAGCAACCATTCTCTTCGACCTCTCGGATGGTGCGTTCGACTGAAGAAACCCTTTTATGGCGCATTAGGTGGGCATTCTGTTACCTATTGGATTGGGATTAAAAGAAACGCCCCCAGAGAAAGAGCATATTATGAAATGCTTTTCATTGCCGTTGTCACAACACAGAATTCATTGATACCCCGAGGGATAAAAAGAAATTAAAATTTCTTAAAATACAGCACGATTAATTATGTAATTGATAACTTCGAATTCTGAGTTTGCCTGACACTTTGTAAATTTGATACATTGACATGGAATAAAGAACTCTATTCCCCATTCTGACTTTACCTTTTGACTCATGTAATAATAATAATAATAATAATAATAATAATAATAATAATAATAATAATATTAGTTGTTGTTGATGTTATTATCTTGATTATTTCTTAATATTATTTTAACTGTAGGCCATATGATGAGTACTTTATTGACGACATACTTTCAAAAGTCACTCCGGAAGATTGATCCAATTTAAGGGAAGGAAATTAGGTCCACGTGAACATATTGTGCAGTCCATATTAGATTATTTCATGTTTTGAGTCATATTTGTATCATAATATTAGCAAACTTTCTGGTGATTTCTTTCTTCACAATTGTAGAAAAAACTGGATCAGTTTGACCTTTGATGAAAGTGTCAAATAACCCTGCCTCGTAGAAGTGACACGCAACACATAAATTGGAGGAAATTAAAGTCTCTTCATTTTGTTGTACTTGGCTTTAGCGACTTCGTGTTTGTGTGTGTGTGTGGGGGGGGGGGGGGGGGGTTGAGGGAGCGCTAGCGACAGCAAAATTTATTATTCCAACAGGATAAAATGAAATAGCAAACAATGAGAATAATCCCAAATAGTATAAAACGACGATGTCGGCGCAGCGTGACACCGGACCATGCCAGACTAGAATGCGAAAATTTTATTCTAACCCCCCAGAGGGCCATGTGTAAGATAAGGTTTTGCACAACATGTTTTACCCTCTTCAAATAATAATAATTATTATTATTATTATTAATATTATTATTATTATTATTATGACCCGGGAATGTTGTCTCGGAAAACAACACAAAACTGACACAGTCTAATTTGATAGAAAAAAAACAATGTTCGTGGATAAATTAAGTCAGCTTTAATTCGTCTTTAGTCTGTACAACTTTTCCCCAAACCCTACGAAATATCGGTTGATTTTACGCAAGTTCCCCCTTCTCTGGGCTACCCTCCACCTGACAACAGACCAAAATGACCGTCTATTTATCGAAAGAACCGCCCCTTTTGGTGGGAAAAGGTCCACTCTGGGTAAAATTTGATCTAGGTTCATGAAGTTTTTATGGAAAAAGGTCCTCTTTTTCATAAAAAGAACCCCCCTAAAAGGGGGGTTCTTTTTCTGAAAAAGTGGACCTTTTTCCATAAAAACTTCATGTACCTAGATCAAATTTTACCCAGAGTGGACCTTTTCCCAGCAAAAGGGCCTTGCATTCAGCAATCCAACTCTGATGGAGATTCTCCTTAAGTGCAATCACTGTAATCGGTTTAAATATCTGAAACGCCTCCTCGAGTTGCTAGGGGGTAATTAGTTAATTAACTAGCTATTGAAGGAGGCGTTTCCGAAAATTAAGATGATTACACTGAATGCACTACAGCCAAAATCCCCCCCCCCCCAGAGTTGGATCGAACCAGCTGGTACGATGTTGGAATCTGAACGCAGTAATGACCGGAACATCCAATGCTTTTCATTTACGTAAAAAGAAAAAAAAGGCCAGTGACCTCATCTAGCCCTATGTTATTTTTCAACCTAAGGTAATGCCTAACTGAAAACATTTTGACGACATCTCCCATCTACCGGACAAAAGGAGACAATTGGTTCAAGGTCGTCATACTGCAGAGCAACAATGATTGATCGTCAAACACAAAAAGACCCTGGTAGCAAACGCAAAACGTCGTTATAACGTTACCATAAAGTTTTTTGGTTATATAAACGTTATGGTAACGTTATAATAACGCCATGTGTTTGCTCGGACACCACTAGAAAATCGGACCGTCCGACAAAATTAGTACTTAAATATTGCTTTCCTTTAAACGTTGTTTCTTTATGTCATCATTCAGTGTGAAGATATTTGATCGCAAACCACCAGATAGTTGATACTGCCAATTAGCCTACATGTAGTTGAATGCCAGGTTCTTAGTTTTATAATGAAAAAAAAAACTCAAATTCATTAGCAATAAATAAATCGTCCTTTAATCATTTCTAATTTAAGGCATACAATGTCTTTATACTTTTATACCTTTTACATCGTTAAGCCTTAAAAATAACAAGGAAAAGTGCGTTTTGTAGGGTACAATTTGGGAAACCCGTCCAAACTCAGTGAATAATATTTTGCACACTTCACAAAAAATAGATAAAGTAAGAATAGATCAAAAAAAGAGATCCCATATCGTATCAAATATGTTTGTGAATGGACCACCAGCAAACCGTATTATCATTCCTGTAGAGTGTCATTTCCAGGGTCATCTTGACCATAATTAAGTTTTATCTTTAAACCAAAACATACCATCTTTGTACAAAGCCAGGGGGTGAAACAGGTGCAGTGGATCCGGGGGTGCATAAAAAGAGCATCCAACGCGCTCCTCTCAATACCAAACGCCGCTTTTGCGTTAGATACAAGTGAATCCGTAAAGAGAAAAAGATGAAGATCTTCGTCCTTTTCGTGGCATGCTGTTTTTCCGCTTCGGTGCGACTGGCAGAAGGTAAAATACTTATATTTGACATTTCACTTGTTTATTAATCACCAATATCATTATCATCATTATCATATTTTAGAGCATAAAGTGTTCCAGTGTTGGATAAAGGCCTATGCATGCTTCTTCCAGTGTATTCTGTCTCTTGCTTCACACTTCCAGTTTGTTTATCGTCCAACTCAGTATTGGTCTATCCCATCCCTCCATCTTTTACGATGTTTTCTATCTTTCTATTTTCTCGAATATACTTTCCAGTGCTGCTGTGAACAGTTCAGAAGATATTGAATTTCTTAGACAAACACTATTCTTTCTCTTGATTACCTTTGATGGTGTGTGTAGTTTCACTGCCAGAGGGCTATCAGAGCATATAACATTGAAGATCTCAAAGTATCCATCCTCGATTCTCAGCAAATCTGCTCGCTTCTCCAATGCTTTCTGAACTGTTGACTTAAAGAGTTAATGTTGGATAAATTTCGGGGTATGGTCAATTCAAACATCTCATCATAATAATGTCCGCAAAGAAGAGGTTATGTTTTCATCTCAGTTTGATTATTTGTTTGTCATCACCCTCAATCATAGTTAGGATGGATTTTGATGAAATGTTTAGAATAGACCAGATATGGGCTTACTTAGAGGTCATTCAGAACAGAAGATCCGAGGATCTACTGACCCACCGATCAAATATGGAGGACCCTACATGAAAGAAGAGCCGAGTGATGGTCTCCTCGCCTCCACACGCGCCATTAAACGGATGAAATCACGGCTCCGAGGTTTAATTGCTAGGACCCTGCAAAGACGGCGCGTGTGGAGGCGGGGAGACTATAAGCGGAATAGTCAGCTCTTCTTTCATGTAGGGCCCTCCATATTTGACCTGTTAATTGAGGTACCTTGGCGGAGGTCCGTGCTCTCTGAGTGCTTTTCCAGTTTTTTCTTGAGTTAAAATTTGCATCATGGTTAACATGACTACACATTTCTTTGACAGCTTTAGTCTATATATAACGAGACCATTCCCAGAGAAATCGTTCTAACTTTGGATCGAACTATCTCCAAGGGGATTCTCGCTTAATTGCAATTAACTAAAGCGGCTTAGATGTCTGTCACGCCTACTGAAGCTGATAGGGGGTAATTGACTATCATTTAGCAGCTCTAGCAGGCGTGCCAGACATCAAAGCCACATAAGCTGAAAGCAATTTAGTGAGAAACTCCGTGGATCGATCTAGGGGTGGGGAGCCAGTCTGTATATAACGTCTTATTTCAGCATCAACATGCGGACGTCCAGCAATCACACCGATCTCGACCGCGGGTAAAATTAACCGTCGTCGCAAGGTTCCCTCTGTTGGCGACAAGGGCGACGAGGGCGACGTGTCAGTCAAAATCATCGGAGGGAGAAAGGCATTGAAAAACAGTTGGCCTTGGATGGCAGCCATTACGGACTCCACCGATTACCAGTACTGTGGAGGAACCCTGATATCGGATCAGTGGGTTCTGACAGCGGCCCATTGTGTGGCACGGTACGGCTTGTGTTCCTTTCCTTTTTGTCAATTTCTCTATGAACCGTGCAATCGACATTACATTCGTCCAAAAATGAAAAACCAAAAGAAGAAAAATCGAATAAAAAAATGAATAATTATAACCCGTTTTTCTTTACAGCAAACGTGCAAAAAAGGTATTCGTGCGCTTGGGAGACCATAATCTCAAGAAAGTTGAAAGTCCTAATTATGCTATCAAAGTCCAAGCCAAGGAAATCTACATCCACCGAAAATATAACAAGAGGAGTTTATCCAATGACGTGGCCTTAATCAAGCTGAAGAATCGTGTGACCTTCACTGACCAGATTAGTCCTGTGTGTCTGCCCACAGTGAACGAGGAGTTGGCAGATGGTCACTATTGCGAGACCACCGGATGGGGATGGACAGGAGGTAAGAAGGGAGGGTGGTAACTATTGCGGAACACTGGACGGGGGTGGACAGGAGGTAGGAAGGGAGAGTGGTAACTATTGCGGACCACCGGATGGGGGGAGGGGGTGGAAAAGAGGTAAGAAGGTGGGACGTTACATGTATTGGCCATAATTGCTAGACCACCGGATTGGGGGAGGGGGGTGCACAGGAGGTTAACATGGGTTTAGGGGGCACTATTGGCAGAGCACCGGATGGGGATGGACCGGGCGACAGAATGGGTTTAGAGAAATAATCTTGTTAGGAACTAGCCTCATGGGGTGGGGAGGGTAGTAAGGTACTGGCTTAAGGAACTTTTGTATGGTTTACAGACGAAATTACGCAAAATTCACATGTACTCAAAAGAAGAAGGCATGATTGCAGATATAGGCCTTTTCGTATTATTGCCTTATTTAATGTGATACAAATTAAATTTATGCCGCATTATCTGTGTGTGTGTGTGTGTGTGTGGGTGTGGGTGTGTGTGTGTCAAGAATTTGTAAAGAGAAGGCCTTCTCTTTACAACTTCTATAAAATTGATATTATGATATTTGGCACTGTGAACATGAATTCATTAAATCTTTACCTTTTTTCTTTTTAGTCATATATCCCACATTCAGTTATTAATGCAGTGAACAATGTGATGTATATATTGTGTATTTATTCTGTTCTTTATTCACCCTTCTCGTCACTGTATACAGTTCTGACTGTGCATTCACTTACATACATTTAACTATAATAAAAATATGGTTTTAGATTTAAAATTCTCTCGTGTTTCTAGGCTTCTACAGTAAAAAGTTACGCCAGGTGAACGTCCCGTACATCACCACGTCCTCATGCAAAAAAACCAATTACGGAAAAGAAATTGAATCGTCAATGGTATGTGCTGGACCACTGGAAGGAGGAAAGGACGCATGCTACGTAAGTGACCGGATTTCGTCGAGATTCACATGAGAAATCCATATTTTGATGCTTAAAAATAGACCATTTCTGCCAATTTACAGAGCAACTTTGTCTGTGTTTTAAGAGTCTGACATACACCGTAACTGTTTTCCGTCTAGCTTCCTGGTTGTATAAAGTATGTAATTCAACAAGCAAACTAATATTAATTTTGTTTTGTGTCGAAAGAATCCAACGGACATGCATGTTTTCGGGTATACGTCGACATATCGTTGTACAAGCATGAGAGAGAGAGAGAGAGAGAGAGAAAGAGAGAGAGAGAGAGAGAATGTTTACCGACTTGTGTCAAATTTCGCCATTGTAATTTCCAGGGAGATTCCGGTGGACCGTTGGTGTGCAAGATTGAAAGCGGAGACACAGTAACGTGGGTACAGCACGGCATCACTAGCTGGGGGTATGGCTGTGCACAACCCAACTCCCCGGGGGTCTACAGCAAGGTCTCCTACTTGATACCATGGATACAATCAACCATGGACAAATATTAACGGATATGTCGGTCTAAGAGTGGGAGCAGCATTTCAAAAACTGGGTTCCCATGCCTAGATCGATCCATCCCTTTGGGTCGATCTATCTCCCTGGGGAGTCTCACTAAAATGCTATCAACTCACCTGCTTAAATGTCTGTCATGCCTACCGAATCAGCCAGGGTGTAAAGATAATTATCCCCTTTCAGCTTTACTAGGCCTGACAGACATTTAAGCCGGTTAAGTCCATAGTAATTTAGTGAGACTCCCCAGGGAGATAGATCGATCCAAATATCTGTAGGAATGGTCCCTTAGGGCACGGGCACAAATACACATGGACACCAATGCGGATCAGCCGCTTCATTTTCCACGCATTTGTAGATTTGGAAATGGGGAAGCAGAATCGCACCGGAGCTGAAGTACAGGGTATCTGGGTATCTGGCTATGAAAAGAATGACTGATGTAAATTCAAGGTGAAAAAGACGGAGATACTTAACTGGATATTTCATGTTTAGTTCGTGGGTCTCTTCTACGGGGCAGGGCTATTTTAAAAATAACTGTTTAGAAATAACTGCATCATGGCTGCCAGCTCAAGATGTCATGCGTAAACATGTAATATAATAATTTTAAATGTGTCTCGTTGTTTGTAAGCATCTTATCTACGGTTTGATTGTCAGTTCAAATTTTTGCAATAGTACAATAATGTAAAGATCATATGAAGGCTATAAAGGTTTCTCAATCACTTTTTTTGGTGTGTGTGTGTGTGTGTGTGTGTGTGTGTGTGTGAAATCCCTATTTCATTGTTTCAATTTTGTCGCCTTACACATACAGAACGAAGAACCACGTAATAGTACAAAATTCGCTCCCCACAAACCAAAAAAAAAAATTTAATTATAAACTGTTCTTTATAAATGGGCATTGGTCATTTATAATATAAACAGGAAAGATATTTATATTTTATGAAAAATGTGTTTCGTTTATTAGTCAAATAAAAGCTTAAATTGTGTTTCATTTATTAATCATTGAAAAGACAAACAACGGGGCTCCACAAGATTAAAGCGGCACTTCTTATTAACTGCCTTTATTACCTCTTCATTTGTACATCGGAACTGATTCACACACTTTGTACAATGATCATATCAAAGTTCCTTTCAGAAATTGATTTCACATTTTACTCGGACTACACTGTTTTAGTAGTGCAGCATTGCTGGGTCCATCTCTATTTTGTTACAGACTCGGGGACAAAATGTTTCTACTCCCTTCCATGCTCTTCGCTGGAGAACCACAACTTCGTCCTCAATAAAGGTACCTCAGTATATTTTCATCCCTTCGCCCACCAATAGGCTTCTTCAAGGGGGTGGAACTCCCAAGTCGGAAGTACGTTTAAGCAAGGACGTATAGGTCCTTGGTGTAAGTAGCTAGATAACAGCGTGCTTTCAACGCCTTGCCAACTCGGAGCATAAGTAAGGTCAGCAACTGTACTATATTTTATGAGCTTCATTTAGGGCAAATTAAGCCAAGATGTGTAATTAGTACGTGCACATATTATCTAAGTGTTCTGTGTGTACAACAAAATGCCATAACTATCAAGCTTCTTAACGTACTTCCGGTTTCGAACCTCCTTTGCTCTTAGAAATCCTGCATCCACTCTTAGACCGATGTATCCGTTAATTATTATCCATGATTGATTGTATCCATGGTAACAAGTAGGAGACCTTGCTGTAGACCCCCGGGGAGTTGGGCTGTGCACAGCCATACCCCCAGCTAGTGATGCCGTGCTGTACCCACGTTACTGTGTCTCCGCTCTCAATCTTGCACACCAGCGGTCCGCCAGAATCTCCCTGGAAATTATTATGGCAACATTTGACACAAGTTGGTAAACACGAACAGAGAAATTAGAAACTCTCTCTCTCTCTCTCTTTCTCTCTCTGTGTGTGTGTGTGTGTGTGCCCGCGCACGCGTGCTCTTTCTTTTCCGTTTCCCCATTGCTCCTACACAATTAATCGACGCCTTTGGGCACAAAATAAAACTAAAATTATTTGGTTCTTTAGATTATGTACTTTATACAATCAGGAAGCTACATTCGAGGTGTTAGTCTCATGAAGCCATCAGGACAAAGCATAAAGTGAATACAGTTATGTCAAATGCTCATTTTTAAAACACGCAGTAAAAACTCTTTTACAATGACCAACCCCCCCCCCCCAAAAAAAAAAAAAAAAAATACTCGACAAAATCCGGTTATACTCACGTAGCATGCGTCCTTTCCGCCGTTCAGAGGTCCAGCACATACCATCGATGATTTAATCCTTTTTTTGTAATTGGTTGCTCTGCATGAGGACGTGGTGATGTACGGGACGTTCACCTGGCGTAACTTGTCACTGTAGAAGCCTAGGGACACATACAACATTTTTTTAAAACTAAAACCACATACCATTGATGTTGAACGTACATGTATGTAAGAGAATGCAGTTATAAGGCACAGGCACCCTCCCTTATTACCCCCTGTCCATCCCGCCCCAATCCGGTGGTCTCGCAATAATGGCCAATACATGTAACTGCCTCCTTCTTACCTACTGTCCATCCCCATCCGGTGGTCTCGCAATAACGACCACTACTTCTCGTCCCCTTTCTCCTGTACATCCCCATAAGGTGGTCTCGCAAACATGAACACTACTTCCCTTCCCCTTACCTCCTGTCCATCTCCATCCGGTGGTCTCGCAATAGTGACCACCCTCCCTTCTTACCTCCTGTCCATCCCCATCCGGTGGTCTCGCAATAGTGACCATCTGCCAACTCCTCGTTCACTGTGGGCAGACACACAGGACTTATCTGGTCAGTGAAGGTCACAGGATTCTTCAGCTTAATTAAGGCCACGTCATTGACCAACTGCCTCCTTTTATACCGTCGGTGGGTGAAGATAGCCTGGGCACCGACTTGAATAGCATAGTTAGGTTTTTCATCAGTCGAGAGACTATGATCTCCCAATCGCACGAACACATTGCTTGCTCGTTGGCTGTAAAAATAAGAGAAAAGAGGGATAATTATAGATCGATCCAAATATCAGTAGGAATGGTCCCTTAGACATCACTTGTCTTGTTGTCGCCATTACTGTTATCGTCGCCGTTGGTGTCACCGTCACCATGCATTTTCCTGCGTAATCACCATAAAGGAAAAAACGTGTAAGGTACTATTCTCAACTTTACAGGAATTATTCTTACGATTAAAATACAGCTCGAATTCGAAAACCAGTCTAATTGGATTCAATTTTTGAAACTATGATATTTTTTTTTACTGTCACAGACTAACATTTTAAAGTGACCTTGAAACCCCATGATACTAGGTTCTGAAGTCCTATGCTATTCACATTTCCTATACTTTATATTCACAGTAGTATATGACAAAAAATGGTGGATTTTATGCTGTTAATTATTATGTATTATCGCATCGAATGTGACAAGAATAAAAACACTGTACACTTAGATTGTAGATACCATAAGGCTTATTCAAACCTAAGACACCAAATATCATTTACCTTTTGAAATAAGATTTGGATGAATGTCATGCCATTTAAATGGTTCACGGTGAAATTTATAGTCTATTAACACAAAGGAAAGGAAAAAACCCGTACCGTGCCACACAGTGGGCCGCTGTCAGAACCCACTGATCCGAGATGAGGGATCCTCCACAGTATTGGTAATCTGAGGAATCCGTAATGGCTGCCATCCACGGCCAACTGTTAGGTAATGCCTCTATCCCTCCGATGATTTTGACTGACACGTCGCCCTCGTCACCCTTGTCGCCCACAGAGGGAACCTTGCGGCGACGGCGAACTTTACCCGCGGTCGAGATCGGTGTGATTACTGGACGTCCGCATTTTGATGCTGAAATTAGACGCTATAGGGCCTATACTGCTGTTATAGATACAGTGTAGTCCTGTGGAATATGGTAAAAATGTTAGCCCAATATAAATGATGATGAGATGTTTGAGATACCTTGACCATACCATACTCCGTAATTTATCCAACATAAACGGCTGAACTCGAGAGATCAAGAACTTTAAGGGGGTGTGGAATAAAACATTTTTTTCGTTTTCCTATAATCTTGTCCCACTTTACTCCACTCCACTAGTACACTATGCGGCCGTCATATTTTAGAGAGATATATTGATGTTTAGGCTATAGAGGTGTGTCACTAATGTCGCATTCATTCACATAGGCCAGACTCAGTAGCAGACGACCATTTGCGCAGTTTACAGTGAGCACTTGGGCTTTTTTTAAACCATTCATCCCACTCATTTACTAAATGTCACCTAGAATTTGATCAGATATGCTGGGAAACGTTCATTTTCAGCTGCCTTCAATGAGTTTGTACCATGAAATATTGGCTTAATTCCGAATACGCGAATATAAAGAAATATATAAAATCATCCTTTGGAAAAAACGTTTTCTTTGAATTTGGAAAAATGTGATACCACACCGCACATGGAACAGTCTTAAATTAGTGGAAAGACCTTGGTCAACAATCAAGCATGAACTAAATAAAAGAAATGCAATCAAACAAATGAAATATCGGATTTTTACCTTCTGCCAGTCGCACTGAAGCGAAAAAACAGCATGCCACAAAAATGGCAAAGCTCTTCATCTTTTTCTCTTTATGTCCACGTCTATCTAACGCAAAAGCGGCGATTGATACTGAGAGAAGCGTGTTGGGTGCTTTTTATATGCAAATCCTTATCCACCGCACCTGTTTTTCTTCTGGTATACCAATGGTATTTTCTGATTGAAAGATAAAACGATGATTACAGTCAAGACCTTGCAAAACGTCGCCCTAGAGAAATGATTATACGGTTCGGTGGTGGTCTATTCCAAACACCCTTTGATATTATATGGAATCTCTTTTTTAATAATTCTTACTTTATCTATTTTTTGTGAAGTGTGCAAAATTATTCAATGTGTTTCCAAAATTTGCCTTACAAAATGCGCTCACTCTTGTTAATTTTTTTAAAATTGTTAAATGCGCACAATAAGCTTTTATACAGCAAGAATTTCAATATCTTTGAAATTTTAACACTTTCCTTAGACGCCAAGGCATTCCCAAACCCATCTAATAACTGTAAAGCTGTAAAGCTGTTTTTGAGTTCGATAATAGTACCTTAGTTTTTGAGTCAATCAGTTGACTGGTGTTGGTGAAAATAAGAAACTTAGAGCTCAAAAAGGGGATTTAAAGATAGCAATTTTCTCAGTGGAGTTTGATTAGAGTTTATTTCCGCAAATTTCTGAGATTATCAAATATCAATATCAAATTAAAACCCAGCATTTAACTAATTAATTGACAAAATTAATAAAAAAAAATCTCAACTGCCTCAAATATCTACACGCTGCATGATAACGTGCAGGTAATGAAATAAAGATTTTAGGGACGCAGATGTAGTATTTTAAGTCAAACTTTATCTGACTGTTTATATATATCATCGTATATTTATACATGTACGAAAATGTTTCAACGAACTGAATCACGTAAACATGTTTGGATAAAATCTAAGAAATTGGAAAAACTAATAAAGCTAGGAATTAATGTCTTATCTGGCCGTCGTATCTGAGAAGCAGGGGCAGCGACTATGCATGCGGTAAATCTGAAAAACCTGATTGTTGATAACCCCTTCAATGGCGATCTCCGGTCGTTCCACGCACGCACAAACACATGAATGGGTCGTACGTATTAAAGCGTGCATTAAACTGTGCAGTTAAGATAAGAATTGTCGGGCTCCTTTTTCAAAACAACCAAACTTTACGCTAAAGGGAAGAAGTGGACTGTTTAAAAAGAAAATAAATTTGACTCCATAATTAATCATTTCGATGTATTTATTTCAACTTATTTTTTCTCTGCTTTTCACTTATCATTTCGTTACTGTATCACCCCCCCCCCCCCCCCCCCCTTGTTGCCGATTTCTTCCTATCTGGATTGCCTACTTTGCTTGGTGAAACTAAATATTGCAGTTAGCATGTTTAAAGCCAGATCTCATTTTCAATACGCAGTCGACGCGAAAGTTTAGGCTCCATCCCGCACCCCTCCCTATCAATGTAATCAGAACAACGTTTCGAAAGTCGGTGTGATGTACGTGTATTCCTTTTCAATTCAACCGTCCACGTTTTTCTTAAACCTGGGTCCTTTAAAAAGGTAAACATATAAATCCCTGATCCTTTGCTGTTCGTTTTAGTGCATTCCAACATTTTAGTGCAACACACCGAGGCATAACGACGGCGGTGTCTAACGTTTTCCCTACCTTTTCCCTAGGGTAACCTTGATGACCCGCGCCATAAGTTTGATCCACCCCTGTCATTTCTACAGAAAAACAAATTTTAGATGCGGTCACTGACCCTTTAATTTTCACTTTAAAGACAAATAAAAGTTTTACACAATACTTAAGATTCAGATGAATATATATATTTATTTTTATGAACATGGTTGACCCTGCTATCATCTTTATCTGTGTATTATAATGATATATGATGGATCTCTTTTCCTCCGGACAGTTTCCCATAACTTACCTGATTCAAGATATTGGGGCCCCCTTAGATTTAATTTTATTTATTTTTTGGTAGAATATCAAAGTAGATAATTTTTAAAATCTAATTTTATCAATTGTTTAATTGTTTTCATATAATTTTTTTATTTCAAAGTTAATTGAAAATTTATGGATCAAAATCCATATTATGATAAATTTATTTATTAGTTCGATCATCTTTGTTTTGCATTTTGTCACTGAGCTCGGCTCAATTTTTTTCTTTCCCTTAGGCAACTCTCAACCAATATTTGCGAGACGACGAAGTGTTGGGTTATAAACACACGTTAAGGATGCATACACCGCCTCTTGATTCTCGGAGAATAAATAACATTTTTGATAACTTGCTTTTTATTTTTTTAATTAATTCTAAAATTCATCATTTGCGGTTTCCCAAATAATATTCCCGATGGGTTTGGTGAAGTGTGCAGCTTGTCTGCAGAGTATTTATTTATTTATTTATTTATTTATTTATTTATTTATTTATTTATTTATTTATTTATTTATTTGTTTGTTTGTTTGTTTGTTTGTTTATTCATTCGTTTGTTTGTTTGTTTGTTTGTAATAATTCAGTACACCACAAATTACAAAGTACTAAAATAGCTAATCAGTCGATGTTTTGTGTACTACATCGTGAAAAATATCTGCCCTCCGAGTTTAACTTTAGGGTACTAGTACCTGATGGCATTGTGTTAGATGAACCTATTGTGCTGTGTCTAATTTATCCTCATTTTCAGATACAATCTAAATCTTCACAAAGAGTTGAAAAAAGATACAAATTCCCCTCATATCAATGGATTTAAAATATTATCCACCAGGGTAGGGTATGGCAAAAATAGTAGATTAATGTTTATTTATGAATGGCGGTTGGATCTCGGACTCATTTTATGCATTTTGCCATTTGGTCCTTCCCATCAAAACACAATTACCACATCTAGGGTGAATTGGTTTAAACCAGTTTCCTGTTTAATGTTTTCTTACCTTCCTATTTTCCAAATTTCATTTAGAAACAATTTTCGCCCACTATCGAATCATTGCTCGACAATCCTTTCACTTGGATTCGATGTTGTAAACCATTTCTAATTAGAAATATAGTTCTAAAATGACTGGCCTGTCAATAACACCGCCATTTCTTCCTGTATATTATCTTCCATTTGAAGGGCTTTATCGATTTAAAGTTTTGAATTGGGAAGAAAAGAAGCTTTGCAGGATGCGTACAATAGAAAATATGACTTTGGGATATTTTAAAAACCAGTTACACTGAAGTTGCTTTTAAGAGTAATTTAAGTAAATTTATACCCCTATACCAAAAAAAAGTGTCACCTCTAACGCAATGCGTAAAGTGATACAAAAAATTATGTCATGAAACAGCGTTCTTTATTCAACTTTTTAAAGTAATTTTTTCGCAAAAATTAACTGATTATACAACCAATGAATAAGAAAACCATAGTAAAAAATCAAAGCCGCATTCTAGTATTTTGTACAGTATCTTCTGGATTGGAGGGCGCACCTGTCGCGTCTCTGTTTGGAGTCAAAAAGTTCTGTAACGTTTGCGCAGTGATGGCTTTCCACATACGGTGCAAAGATAGTATGAGATCATTTTTGTTTGCAGAGTTATCTCTGAGTTATCCATTTCCAAGGATATCTTACACATTCTTAATGAGGTTCTGATCTAGGGATTGAGCCGTCAATTGGAGGGTCTGGATCTGGTCCGTACATAGCCAGCCTATTGTTGCATTGGCTGTACGTAGAGTAGCATTATCATGCTGAAACATAAATGGGTGATCAACAGGATTCCTTAAGTTTTTTCCAGTGCTTGGATGCAATACAGTGGCCAATACACCCCATGCATGGCTTAAGTGGGGTGCGTCCTGTCAATCAGAGGCAGAAAATTGGAAAGCTACTTCTTACCAGCTGTTTTCCAAACCCTTATGCGTCCAATGATTCTGTCGTCATTTAAAAACAGTATCAATGCCCAGTTATTGCCTGATGTCCATTCCAGAGTTCCAGTATACCATCTGATTCGACGTAGACGGTTCCTGGCAGTGATCACTGGTCTCCTAACAGAAATATTGCCAAAATAACGATGAATTGTGCTAACGCCTTCACAGAAACACCTGTGTGCCCTGTTCTTGTGAAATGTTGCAGTCAAGTTCCAAAATGTTATGAAACGTTTTCTTGGAGGCGGCTTATTAACATTCTCTCTTTTCTGGGTGTGAATTCCTTCGGTCGGCCTTACTCAGGTAAATTTACCCATGTGCCTGTTTGGTAATGATGTTGTTTATACCTCTGAATGGTTCTCATGGGAAAACCAAACCTGGCAATTCGGCGGATCAAAACTCCCTCCTATGTCAACCGATTGGTATAAAAAAATTATTCTTCTCACTTAGGAGCCGCATGTCAAAAAATAATTGGTTTGGGGGCATTTCATTGGTTAGTTAGGTAGATCAATGTTCGACTTCTAACATCCCTAATTCATACAATGATCGGTTGCCTAGTTGTCATGTAATAGTAAAATAAAAAGTTTTGTAGTAATGTACATAATTGTGGAAGGGTTAACACTTTTTGGTAGGGGAGTATATATTTAGCGCGTTATATCTTTATGGTGCCCCCCCTTCCCCCGCCGTATTCTCCTTTGCAATACACCATTTAACAAGCGAAACAACAACACCAAGCAAGTCTTTCTGACCTTCGTCCTAAAGAAATGTGTTTTCGTCTACTATTTATATTTAAAGTTTTGCCTCATTCCTCCTCCCCCCCTTTCAAAAAAAAAAAAAAATCAAAATCTTACATTCGCATGTCGGTAAGTACTAATGTAGCGAATGTCACAATATTTTTATTGCTTAATCAGATGCCCGATTAAAAACAGAGGAATATACAAATAAAAAGGGTTTAATTTAACATTTCATTTATTCTTTTGCCAAGCATCTGTCATCAATAAATAGTAATAATAATAAATAAACATTACATTAGTAGTTTTACATATAATAAATATTTAGACGTATGCTTTGAGATTCTACATGGTGCTTCAATAAATACACCAACGTGATAACGTTATATATACAATAACAATTACTCTGATGAACTGTCTCTGGTCATTACACCATCTTTACAAACAACTCCTCTGTGATAAGGATATTTACCATTCATAAACATTGAAAATATAATCTCACATGTAATAAGATTCCGTTGAATACCCACAACGACTTCATATTACATAGGTTTCATTATTATGCAACTGGGGCCAGTACATATAGAAAAAGCGAGATAAATCTCGCCAAATGCGGTAGCAGAGACACGGGATGAGACGGGACACAATCTTACTCCAGGGCCGGGCAAGGAGTAACGCGCGTAAAAATCTGACTCAGAATGAGAACCAGGTGGATAAACAATACTCCTACTATGCCCTTCCTGCGATCAATTATCGCTTAATGATAAAACGGGAAAATAAATATTGGAGAGCCAACGATTAAATGCATTTTCCGCCTGACTATGAGCAATTCGTCATGACGTACATGATTACGTCATCCCACTGAAAGAGGGCGGGAGGTTGGGGATTATTACTCTAATAACACTTTAACTAAGTCTTGAACCTCGGCTAGACAAATAGTGCTTAATGCCCATATTACCATAAACACAATATGCAGTACTACGACTTCAAATTAAAATACTATCACAAATGTGACGGTGCCACAAAATTACCACACACAGTAATATTTCTGTTGTAGTAAAATTAATCAGTCTAATCAGGCACCGAATCGTTTGAAAGAACACAGATTAATATGTAAAGTTCAAACTAGTAACCCAACCCCCATATCCACAGCCTTCTGATCTGTTATCCCCTAACCTACAAACACCCTTAAAATCTGAATGTAACATGCTTCAGCGTGCATGAAATAAGAACCAACACTTCCAACATTTCGATACCATCAAATTCAGGGTAATCAGTGGTCTACAACGTGTGTAAACAATGACAAGGCTTAGCTGACTCAGTGCTTAAACCCCACCACCTGTTTTATTCCCGTGCAGTAAGAGCTGGGTGCAGGTGAATACGACATGATTATCTCCACATGGCAAGCTAGTACAACTATACAGGAAAGACATCTTGCCGCGAAAACGCGCTTCATTGAGGGAGTGACGCATTTACTACGTCTTTAACTCATTTTGGGAATCTGATACCAAAACATCCTCTCGATCCCGTCAAAAGTGTGACTAATGTCTAATCTATGAAATGTACTGTATCACTCTGGCTATCAAGTCTCTACGACAGTTTCAATGTCTAATCCTACAGCCATCGAGACCTTTATAATCCACATTGGAGAAACCGACAGTAAAGATATAAAAAAAGATCTCATAAATTCAATGATAGGCGTGAGATAAAATTTGCTCAAGCAAGGAAAATAAAGAAGGGAGAGAAGATAAGTGAAAAAGATTGATGAGGGTCCCTGGGAAGAGATTTAAAATAACCATCGTCTAAGACTTACTAATCTAAGTGATCTAGCTAAATTAATATCTGGACGGTCACGTTACGCCAATCTAAAATAAATAACTTAATAAATATGTGTATACAAAAAAGAGACATACAAAAATAATTTAAATCTTTCTCATAACTTCCTTGTGTGGGGCTTCAAGTGGTTCCACTTGTTCGATCAACTGATCAACGAAACCATATCACGCAATGTGAAAGTTCGGACCCCGCAGAGCAGATGTAAAAGTTGCTATGATTGGTACATTTCTCTGGCAAGCGGAAGCCTCAACCAATCATCTCTTCTTATATATGACTTTCTTATCGTCTGGGATGAGAAATAGCGTCGTACGATCCTCCACTGGAAAACGCTCAGAAGGAAGTTCAAGTTTGTATTTTCTTAAGATGGTCGCCCAGATTGTCTTCATTTCCAACATGGCGAAGTTAGGACCAAGGCATTTGTGTGTCCCTGCGCCGAATGGTGTGTATGAGGCTTGTTGTCTGGGGTTGTTTCCAAAGTCAATGAATCTGAAAATAGGCAAATGTGGACAATTTAGTATCCTAATATTTGATGAGTGATACATTGCACATATACAATATAAGTTTTTTTGTTTCATCTTCTAACGACATAAACTTTGTATTAAAAAGCTGTTAGGAGTTTCTAAAGTAAAAGTTTAACAAAACAGATACAGCTTGAAACCTGAACTTCAGTAAATACATGCTTGGTAGCCCCCCCCCACCCCCACCCCACCCCCCACCCCCACAACACCCGTCCACTGTTTCCTTAATTATTAAAATAAACAGGGAAAACATGAAAGAGAGGTCATTCAAAATGTGTTATTCCTGTTATTACAATTGAGACCCTTTTCTCTTAAACTGATATGAATAGGACTACATTTCAGAGTGCACATAGGGCAAGGAGACAAAGACATGTCTGTACCTGTCAGGCTTAAAGTCCTCCGCATCCTCTCCCCAAATTTCAGGCAAAGTCTGGTTGACGATGATGGAAATGCACGTCATGGTGCCGGGAGTCAAAGTGTAATCTAAAACGTCCTGGAGAAGAAGAATAGTATAAGCATAATGTTAAGAATAATAATAAACGTAAGACATGTAATAGCAAGCTGTAATAGCATTTTGAAAGAGATTAAGGACGTGTCCCCGATCAAAATCGATGTCTCAACTTTGATAAATTTTCGCAATGAGGAAGTTCACACTGAACTGGAGAGTCACCTTAACCATTAAGAGTTATGTCAGGCTACGAAAAAAGTTGTTAGCATAAGTGTTCGCCTGTTTGAAACACGTCAAGGTCTGAACGGAACAGAACCTGTCACGGACTTAGTTTGCAAAATTTTGAAAAGAAGAAAAACAGAAGAAAAAGAAGATTAGGCTATTATGTTGATGATGAAATCTACCTGACCTCTGACCTACCTAGGACGCAATGTACATATATTGTGTCCTAGGACCTATAGACTTGCTAGGCTGCATCGCAGGTGAAAATGTTTCTTATGTAAGAGACTGTTTCTTACCTTATCTTTACGGCATTTCCGGATGAAGGTGAATGCCGGTGGTCGCAACCTTAAAGTCTCTTTCAGGCCCCTCTCCAAGGCGGGGTATTTTTCTAGGACTTTATAATCTAATCCACTAGCATCTTCCATCTGCTCTTGGTATATTTGTTCCTGATAGAGAAAAGGATGTTCTCGTATTTATTATGTGAATATAACAAACGAAATGGAAACGACTCAACGTGTACATATTACTAAAAACTTCTGAAATAACTCTACCATTCGTTTATTGTTATGTGTTTATGAAAATACATTTATTTATTTATACTATATAGCACTAAATAAAATGCCACATGTGCTTTAGATACATTTTCTGCGGGGATCCTGTATTTGACATACAAGGCAAGAGAAGTAATAAAAACACTTTTATCAAAACGTTTTTCATCAGTAAAACATGACGAAATTCCATTAAAAAAGCAGTCCTCTGATCATTCCTTACCTGTACATCCTGGTGTTTAGCCAAAAAAAGCCCAAACCATGTGCTTGTAATTGAAGGTTCTTCTGTTCCCAGTGTCATCAATGCAGTCATTATTCCGATTAATTCTGTGTCAGTTAGTGGCTGCCCGTGTCTGGAAATAAAAAGAAACATAAGGATTCACTGATTTTATTCTTGTTTTACATTTCAAATTCAAACCTGAGCCAGGAAAAATACCCAGAACTTATTCCACAGACCCAGAATGAACAATAATAATAATAATAATAATAATAATAATAATAATAATAATAATAATGGGTATATTTATTTCAGAAAACATTTTTCAATTGATCCTTCTTGAAATGTGATTCAAATGATACTAATATAAAAATTTGCCTTAATTTTCTTAATGCGACTGAACTTACTTGTTCTTAGATTCCATTAGACGCTGTAAGGTGTCATCTTCTCTTGTCGGTTCTTCGCGTCTTTTGTTGATGATTTCTTGGAATATCTTTCGAATCTTAGCGTTGGCCCTGTCGCGTTTACTGTAAAGCAAAATGGGACAAATAAGCCTTCTTTATTTTCATAAACCTGTTTCATAATAATATTTTCTTTCCTGGCACCAAAAATAACTTCAAAATTTTCTCAGAAATAATACAACAAAAAAGTCTTCACTTTGCTTAACTTCACCGCCATTTCGCCAGATCTCTTAGGCTAAAACTGGCCAACTGAGGAAGGTAATTGACTCAAACATGTTCCAACCTTAAGTAAATTATTCTCATTATCAAGCATTTGTCATTATCATGCTATCCGTTGCATATATAACTTTGTACAAGCACGTGGAGGAAACATATGTCGGTCAGCTCAACAGATTAATGGTTTCACACAATTACTTGTATGGCACGAAAAAAAAACATTACAATTATTCCCTTGACCTTCAATAGTATTGACGCTTTAACGTAATTACTTGAATTGATGCGATTAAGCAAATACTATACGAAAACAAGGGAATAATGGCATGCTAACAGAGGTAACTAAGACATGCAGTAGAGTTGCTTTTTAATCGGCAGGAGGGGCTAAAGTTTTTTATTCTTGGAAATATGGACCAGTAACTAAGAGACGGTATGGAGGGAAAGGGAAAATAGGAAGTTATGGCCAACAAACAAAAAAATGCAAACGATCAATAAATAAATAAATAAATAAATAAATAAATAAATAAATAAATAACAGACTCATGTCCGAGGCAATCACCGTTAGTTGTGATATGAGGTAAAAGGTCATATAACTTACTAAAAGACAGCTGATTGCATAAAACTGGGAATGGTCATAACAAGGGGATGAAACCCTGAGATGAGGTCATGATAGAGGTCGAGGTTAACCGCTTTCGTCACATCCGTTCCCAGGAGGCATTTCGGCCCGCAACGAACGCACAGTTCACGGAATGTGTGAAGAATGTCTGGAAAAAAAGGGAATGTCGATCAAATTTGATATGAATTATTCGAGTCAACAAAAAAAGGAAAAGAAGGACTCATTAAAGAAACAACGTTAAATTTAACAAAAATCAACATAAGGAGCAAGAATAAATCACGAAAATCATTTAGAATACAAAAATGGTTTCAACAATGCACTTACAAGTCAAAATTATAAATGTCAAATAACAGCAATGCAAAATATGGTAAAGAAACATAAGGCAATAATTCCTTTCTATAAAAGTTGAAAACTATTCAAAATCAAGCTTGAAAAACACCAAAAGAAATTGGACTAATAAGCAAATGCAAATACCTAAAAGAACATCGAATAGACAAGAATAAAAAAAAAAAATACAAGGACACAAAAAAGTGCAAAAAACCAACGATGTCAACAAGAAAAACAAATACATCAGTTAACCAACGGCATTTTTTTTAACTAAAAGATGCAAAATCAATAAGAAGTGTTGGACAGTGAGCGAATTATAATCACCACAGACCTTATCACCTCGTTATCTATTGATCATTAACTACGGAGGTCGGAACATGATGCCAGAACGCCCCCTGGGCTTACGTATTGAAACGCGTGTTCCACGTGCTTTGAGCATACATTTATATAACCTGTTGTCTTAATTGACACAACCTCGACATTGTAAGGCCAAATCTTTGTCATCATATCCGAATTCTGAACTGTTTAGATCTACAAGGGCCACTATAAATATCGACTCCCTTTGCCACTGCCAAGATAATTGTGGAAGAAAACCCATTATTGGTTTGTTAGACGTTGATGGGTAATGTCAGTCACACAACAAGTGGGCGTGGCTTAACACGCTAAGCCAAAAAAATAGAAAGAGTTCATAGGTTTTTCTAGAGATCTGCATTCTTTTAACATTTTTAATGATTGAAAGTAAAAATTTGCTTTGTGGAAACTTAAATATATCTGGAGTCAGTATATTCTGTTTGATAAGATTCCCTTCAAATGTTGGGGATATAAACAGATATATCTTGCAGAATTAGCATCCCCCTTCATCCAAAACATTGAAAGCAAGCGTTGTACATGCCACCATAAAGCCAACCAAAATTATCTGTTTTCAAACAGTAAACACTTACCAATACTTCCTGTCTCTCCCCACTTCTCCTCCAGATATTGGGTAACTTCGTCCTCAATGACAGAGGCATACTCTTCCATTCTGTTCCGGGTGAGGCCTGACTTTCTAATTAGACGAAACTGTTCCAACATTACCTTTAAAGAAAAAAAAAATTAAACATTTTTAATTTTGGTTTGGGTACCGGTGTGACAGGATAGGTAGTACAAGAAATGAAAAAACTGAGTCCAACATGATAAGTACAATCTAACGTTAGCCGGGAGAATCGGGGTCAACACGTGAAACGAATTTCACACATACAAGCAAGAAAGAAATTTAAAACCTGGTTTTAATCAGTGAACTGGATCGTTCAATTTGTTTTACCAATCAGCAGTTAAAATACGACATCAAGATGATTTGGTGTTACAGCAGAAAAATGAAATGTCAATAAAATGCGTCTTACCGAATGAGGAACATCATATGCTGTGTCTTTGCCGAGAATGGGAGTCGTAATTTTCGAGTTCATTTCTTCTCCGTTTAGCTGGTCGTTCGGGCTGTAATAAAATTCCCTTGACGCTTCTGGACCAACCAAAAACGTGAATGTTTTGCCCATCATCGTGAACCTAAACGCTGGGCCATACTGAAAAGAAGGGCAAGGCATTAACTTAATTTCAAGCACTGTGAAGGAGTAACTCACCAAACACAGTACGTTTTGTAACGTTACCATTACGTTTATTGGTCATGTAAACGTTGTTTTCCTAACACAACATACTTCTTCACAGAATGCGCTATTTTTATGTTAATAGTTAATCCCTCCATTTCAATTTTCCTTGATAAGCGGCTTTATCGTAGATGCAGATTACCAGAATCCATGCAATATACCGCCCTCATGAATGGCATCAATACATAGATCACAATATCTGTATATGATATGTGTAATTTGTCTCGTTCCACCCACGTTGAGCTTTATTCTCTACAATTATAGCTTTGTATGGTTTTATTTTACCGCTCGTATGGTGGTATCGGATGTAGGCATGCTTACATATACAAACTTATTTCTCTTTCTTCTCATATGTTTTAAGCTGTGCGTCATACGCATTCAATACTTTCAAAAGCTAAACGGTGTTGCTTATGATGATTTGAGCCATTTTGTCATATCGGAAACTGCCTTGTTCCTTCTTTTTTTAATACGCGTAAAATACTAAATCACGTTGCATTGAAAAAATGAAACGATTGACGGTGAGGTCATGAGTGAATGTGCCAAGTCAATGTCAAGTCACTATCTCAATATGAATATAACAAAAAAATGCTATATAATATTTATAACTATCAGAATTGACCAACACTTTACTCCTGCTTACTTCAATGCTTACCGTCTACCTACCTAACTAACTAACTACAGTCCCAGAATATCATGTTCCAAACTGATATCAGACTGTACAACAGTAGGTAAAAAGTCAAGAAAAAAAGCTCACCTTTCTGTATGCGTTGAGCAGGAATTCTTTAGGATTTTTACCATACGCGAATGCGTGGCCAAAGAATGGAAGTGATGCCGAGATGAACGGTGGAAGTTGGTTTTTCTGTAAGTGAAAAACAGAGTCATTTGTCATCTAACATAAAACCAAAACCAAAGATTACACAATAATAATAATAATAATACATTCTGTGTCATATTCGGTTTCGGTCTGAGGAAGACCAAAGGAAAACGGATTAATAAGACATTCGTGTCAAATAAACAAGGTTGCATTCCACTGTCCTTCGTATTACACGAATCGCTACCAATTACAGTAGAATTAAACGCCAAGGTTAAATCGCTAGATTTAATCATAACTTATTGGTCCTATCTTATGTCCTTGGTACTTACAAAATCAAACACACACGTATACTTTTTCCCCATTAAAAATACGTCGGTTGGTAATTTCAATATCTGAGATCAATGTTACAAACATTTCAATTCTTAGATAATCAGGTATTAACGCGCTTTACAGTTGTTATCCCCATCCTAATATATTTCAAAATTACAAGAAAAAACATCTTCACAAAAACGTTAAAAATGAAAAAAAGTAGCAGTAGTTACACTTACCCGTCTAGTAAAGAAAAACTGTTTCCAGCTTGAAAAACTGTAACGCTGCAAAAGTTGTATACCCGCCAGTAATAGGCAGGACACAAGGAGCAGTACACTGCTGTGATCAACGCTGTTGAGTAGATGAAATATTACTGCCATTATGTGCTGGTTCTGCAATGAAAAAAAAAGACATATGAAATAGACACGAGAATGTAATAACTAGTTGTGACAGCTGAAACGGTTTGTTATAGTGCGATCCCACAGCGTTCGAGTAGCATTAAACCCTCATGGACGCTGCCTCATTTGAAAGGTAGGTCGAGCTTTGGACAACCACAGGTATGCTGAGTTCCCATTATTTCAATATTGCGTCTCTTCGCTAACGGACGAAAAAAAATTATAATTTCGCTGTGAAGTCACTGCGTGAAATCACTGCAGGTATTGAAAGGTAAACTGAATTAGAGACTTACGAGCCGTGAATTGATACTAACTTTTTTTAAAAATCTTCAGCCGGAATGTCTTAATGAAAGATGAATCAAGTCGTCAAAGTATCGAGCTACTGTTTAGCCCTGTATAAGTTCCTCTCTGTGTTCCCTCTTGCTCCTCTCAGAGTATTACTGACTGCTTCCAGCCACGAGCCCATATATTTATAGACAAGCGGCTGAGACTCAAAGCTATAAAGCCCCACCCACATACTATTGATTGACACTTGTTATACACTCGCTTCTAATGTTTCCTTGAGGCTCAGCGGAAGTACTTGAAAGCTAACACGTTGACGTCATACTAGATACGGGTCGGATCGACAGTGGCGGTGTCGACGTCGTCATCTGGTTGGTCGAGAACGGTGACTGACCTAACGGCTGAGTTCCACCAGGAGAACTCTGAGTTTGCAGAGTAACAGAGTAAGACGGTTTAGTCACTCGTCTACGGTTTACAAGTGGGCACTCTGATTTCATTAGTGAACGCAGTCCCTGGTTGTAAGAACATGCTCTTTTTTTCGTGCTGGCGCATTTAGAGGCAAAGTGTGTAAGTGTGTGTGTGTGTAGAGAGAGAGAAGGAGAGACAGAGAGAGAGAGTGAGAGAAATAGAGAGAAAAGAGAGAGGGAGAGAGGGTATGAGAAAGAGTGTATTTGTAATGTTGTGAATATGGAGGGAAAAGGAGAGAGAGAGAGAGAGAGAGAGAGAGAGAGCTAGGTGTGTGCGTGAATATGACTGAAAACGCTGAGAAAGAGGGATGGAAAACAAGACAGATAGAGAGAGGGGGGTAGAGAGAAGTTGAAAAATGATATAAAGTAACGAATTGCATACAGGAAAAGTTATCTCTCTCATGCATCCTGTCCGCAATAAACATAAAACATCAACAGAATTTAAATATACCTTACTAAGATAAATATACCTTAGATAATATTTCACATATGGCAAAAAAATGCGCAAATGTTTATAAGGAAATGAACAAAAAAACTCATGCCACTCATACCAAGCTTGCTTCTGTTTTATTTCCACTGATTTGAATAAGCAACACATGCTCGATGCATTCCCGTGCGTAAAACACCTGTTTCTCCGCCTTTTCATTTACTTAAATACAGCCACCACTAATAACACGCTCCAATAATACTATCTTTGCGGAAACAAGGACATCGAGTCAGAAGCTGGGGATAATTCCCGCTTCCTTGTAGACACATCGATATGGAGCTTACCAGAAATATAACAATCAACACTTCAATACAATCAAGAAGTGACGATCGAACCTTAATTAACGTTTCACTCCACGGTAACCCGTTTCATTGACAAACCCCTCCTTTTCATTAGTCCGACATTTTTCCTATCGCCCGGTAGCTAGGGTTTTGCCGTACGTTGCTATACTGTATTAATTGATCCCTGAGTGTTTATCTACCTCAAACACAATCTGTCTTTTACTTCCTCCACTATTTAACGCTTGTTAGAGTAGGTCTATTGATGTAATTGCTATGAAGGCAATACAAAGAGCTCCCCACTTAGCAGATGTAAAAAAAAGCGATGGTGTAAATTCCTAGAGATGTGTTAAAGGGAGTCGGGAAGAGCAGGATATGGCATTTAATGGAAATTGGCGTTCAGTAACTTTCGTTGTATAGAAGGAAATTACGAAAACGCGTGGAGTTAAAAAATTAAATAATAACCTCAAACAAGTTCTAAATAATTATATATTGATGATGGAAGCATGTGTCACCATCTACTTTGTCACATGCGTAAAAATGTGCACGTTTGCCTATTTCTCAGCCGTGCAGCACCCAAAAACGCACACGAACACGTTTATCAAAACGAGTTAATGCATGGCATAAGAAACATGCAAGCGCATGCAACACGTTTTGACTCACTCAATAGCACGCTCACGCAGGAGCGCACCCTCACACTAATCACTGAATAATGTGGCATCGGTAACCACTAAACTTCAGAGGATCATCATATCCATCTCACATACTAAAAAATTTCAAAAGCAGACAGAGGAACGTACTAGACAACATCAAAGAGTGGTCAGACGGAGGCCCTTCCCAGACCCAAGTATTGGCACGCATCTGAAAAAAAATTGTGAGCTTGGCGAGCGGAGTGTTATCGCAGCACCACGGAATAAAGAGAGAGAGAGAGAGAGAGAGTGGGGGGGGGGGGGGGTGAATGGAGAGAGAGATTGCAGGTACGCACAGGTGGTCTCGTAATTATCTAGCTAAACGCTTCCGGTTGTGCGACTGTGAATTAGTTTAAGTGATTTTCACGGTGATTTACAGACGAAAGTCACCATCCGCTTGAACTGAAGTAATGGGTGTAAAATGATTGTGAACGGATTCAATGCAGCGAAATGATTTGCTGTCAATCAGAGAGAGAGATCGAGAGAGAGGGGGAGATATAGGAAGGTGTGGATCCCTTTCCCCTGTGCACCTTTCCGAAGAGTACCCTTAACAAAATAAAAAAGATAAGTCTAATACTAATAATAAAATGAAATAACTAAATAAAGGGTCTCTAATTTTTACCCAACTAGGCCATTTATAAAATTTATACTTATACAATTTTTAACCCAACTGGGTCATTTTATCTTATTTACACCTGGCTTTATGCAAATATATCTTAATTTTCATGCTGATTTATTAGAAACCTGCTTGTAACGATCACTTACCATTTATTGACATGCATTTACATATATATACGTACATGCATGTAGTCACATATACATATACATTGAAACTAGCAGGTTTCAAAATGACAGTAAAACAAATTACTTTGGTAATCAGGCAAAAAAAAAATTCAGTTTCAATAAAAACTATTTCAATTCCCTACATTCTTTATCAACGATTTTTCTGAAATCGACAAAAACCACCGTACCTTCTTACTACAGTCCACATATCTGCTGTCATTAGTTATAACAATAGGACTGATTTCCCAAATCATTTCAAAATTGAATTTATGAAAAGAAAGAACATGGTCACGGAGACAAGTGGCCCTGGCAAAGTAATTTGACCTTACGCGTCTTTCTCGGAAGATGCCCTCGAGGGTACATAAATGTGATTAAAACCCGTATAGCGCTTTAACTGCTTGTCTTCTAGGAGGGCGTGGGAGGCAAAAAAACGCTTCAGAATGAAAATGCAAGGACAATAAGGGCAATTAATGATAGATTAAAATACCCAATAGATTATTGCTAATACCCAATAGAATGCGGTTGGCAACATATTGAATTCGATGCTCCTAATGCATGCTGCACTCCAACGCACTAACACTGTTTGTATAGTAAGTTCCTTAATGGGTAAAGCGCAACTAGGAAATATGGAATAATATTCATTGTGCTTTTTTCTTCTCAGTTTAAGCATATGGATTACATTTTTGTCAAATAGAAGCTTCTCCATCTTTGGTGCGCTGATAAATCTCTTCGACCTCCCTTTCTCCCATTTTTCTGCATCTATATATTTCTACTGAGGTAAAACTGTTCAAAAACTCACTAGCTGTACTACATTACCCTCCACCACAGACCTAAGGGTCATAAAGCCAATTTCATGGAAACATATAAGGAAACATATAACCACAATCTTTATATTCTAAACGGCATACTGGGTCTAAACTCGACCTCAGATAATACTCATTTTGCTACGCTTTGAAACTGATTGCCAATGGAAAGTGAGGAAATGCTGGTATCGGTCAACCATCATCATCGTCATCGTCGAAGCCTGGTCGAGATGGGTTAAAAGAACCGGCTCTAAGTCAGCCTGTACATTCAACTGAATGCATTTCAAAATGAATACACCCGTCTCACATAGTTGAAACTGATCGTGATACCGAACAACACCCACTCGGTCTCTTCCTCTCACAATACCCATCGACGCAAGGTGGAGAGGATGAAGGAGAGACGAGATGTTATTGGGATGATGGAGATATTTTACTTGAAATTCGAGGGAACAGAGATGTCGACCCCCACCCCCACCCCCTCCCACCCACCCATAGTTTTCTACATCTAATGTCGCGTGTCTTTAAATTCATTTCGCTGACCAGTTCAAGGTCACTTTCAAGGTCACAAGTTCACTAGCCTGATCAGCAGATTTGAAGTTGTGGTCCAAGCTGGCATCAGAGCTACACGTCAGCAAACTCCACTTATAAATGAAAGTATCAAATGATCAATTAACAGGTGGGATAAACAGTACCATCCACTTTGTCAATTAATGCATTTAGGGATACAGGTGTCTGTAATTGTCAAGTGGCTTATAATCACCTCACCCAATTTATTGTCCCGTACCCACATTTCCGTTCGTCTGCGTGATCATTTAATACTAAAATAGCACAGAACTGACGTAGCAACGTCAATCTTAATATAATGAAAATAAAATGTCGCACATAGGGGCGGAACGTATCAGATATGACACAGCAACCCGCTCTCCGTCATGGCCATTTTACGGATGATTGTAACGTTATATAAACGTTGATGCACATGGGCGGCACCTATGCCATAAGTATACGCAATGTGTGCGAACACATACACGTGTATACGCACACTGAGAGACAGAGAGCACGCATACAGAGAGAGAGAGAGAGAGAGAGAGAGAGAGAGAGAGAGAGAGATTGTAAACTCTTATATGATCTAAATATGTTTTACTGAAATAAATATACATGTACCAAACAATATATGTCTAAGGCGTCCAATTAAGTCTTTCTAAGTTCCT